AAAATATGACCATTGAGAGTTTTAATGCGAACCCCAGAACGGGCCGTTCTGGTTTGAGAACGGGTCGTTCCATTTTTGGAACGGGCCGTTCCGCGAATCCTGATGCCTATAAATTGAGTGCTTTAGCACTCCTAAAATCATATTGTTCAATTCTGACTTCTTTCTTCTACATTCTCTTCTTTCCCTTCTACACTCTCTGAAGATTGAGGGGCACTTAGAGGAGGAGACCAAGAGATCTCTGTTTTAGTTTCAACTGCTGTTTATCCAGGTACGGGGGAAAAGGGGATTATTTATATGTAGAGTTACATGAGGGAATTGGGTAGAGGAAGAGTCCCTTAGGATTATGAGTAATTTTATAATTATTTCTGTTTGGAGAATTATTGGTCTTATGTGATTCTGTATGTATTTAGGACTATGAATATATGATTTATTTGTAAAAATGATGCTCTGGGAGAGAGAACGAAATTATAGAAAAGTGTCTGTAAGTTAGGTTTTGGAAAAATTGGATTATTTCTGTTTGAGAAATTGATGATCCCATTAGATTCTGTATGTGTTGAGGATTAGAAATATATATTTAATTTGTAAGAATGATGATCTGGGAGAGAGAACGAAATTGTAGAAAAGTGCCTGTGAGCTAGGTTTTGGAATAATTGGGGGTTTTACCGTTTATGTTAAAATTATATTAAATTGATAATTCTATTGATTATTTTATTAATTTATGAATGTTATTGTTATATTAATTGATAAGAATTGATGATCTAGATGTGAATTGCTTGAGGGGTGTGTAAACCCTTATTTTGTTCGACTTATCTGTTGTGCATGTAATATGGAATTGAGATATGAGATGAGATGTTGTGTGGATATGATTATGATTGTGATTGTGGTACCTCACACTAATGACCAGGGATGAGACGAACCTTGAGTAGTGATGCTTCAAGGACGAGCGTGCCCCTGGCATGGTGTGGGATGAGTGAGGCAATTAACACGCATCACTTATGTCACATATGACAGCCCTGGCATAGGGTTAATTGCAAGAGATTGTGTGGATTGTAATGTGATTGTGGTTCCTCACACTAATGACCAGGGATGAGATGAACCTTGAGTAAGTGATGCTACAAGGACGAGCGTGCCCCTGGCATGGTGTGGGATGAGTGAGGAAATTAACCCGTATCACTTGTGTCAGATGTGGCGTGGCCTTGGCATAGTGTTAATTGTAAGATTTGTGTGAATTGTGATGGATTGATGTAATTGAGATGTGAAGATTATGAATGATTGTTAAATTATGATATATATAAATGCTTATGAATATTTCATTCAGTAAGGAGTTATGATAGATTATGTTGTGTTTTTCCTTTTGTGCTTTCCATATAGATGTTTTCTTTTCTCACCGTATAATTTGTGGATGTTTTAGGTGAGGAAGATCCAGCTTTGAGTGACATCTAGAATGCCAACCATTGAGTTATGAGTGTGCTATGATATTGTGACGGGGCAGAGAATTCTAGGATAAATTTTTATATGTATTTAGAGTTATACCTTCTATTTTGAAAACAATTTGTAAACTCTCAAGTTTTACTTTCTAAATTTCATTTTTAATTATTTTGGTTATTTATGAAGGTTTTATGTGAACTCTTTTTACCATTGTTGAATATTTTATTCTTTAGTTAATTACAAGATTTATTTATATATGTGTTGGGGTAGTAAGGGTGTCACACATTTCATATCTCACATTCTTCTCTTACATGTTTAGTAGAGCTTTCAAATGGTTAGCTTGGCCAATCTAGCCTAACTTGGCTCATCAAGTCAAATAAATGTAAAGTGTATTAGTATGTCCCAAATCTTTTTATAAGCAACTTATTTTGTGGTTTGTTGACTTGTCAAGTTAGGTCAAATTGACCGATTTTAATTTTTTTTTTTATTTTTATTTTAAGTTTACAAATAAAAAAATACTAATAATAACCCAAATAGACTTGGTATATTTTTGGCCTAAAAGTTATAGATCTAGCTTGACCTAATTGGTCCAATTTTTTTGAACCTTTATTTTTGGAGCATGGCTTAGGTCAGCCTATCAGGCCAACATGCCAACAGAACATGTAAATAATTTAGTATGAGATTATTCTAACTTAACCAACAATCTCAAGTAATCCTACCTAATTCAAATTGGATTATCTCTAATGAAAGATACAAGTGGTATATATGAAGAAAAATTCATTAAATGGATATTTTTGAATTTTATAAATACATATAGATATTTACAAATATTTATATATTTAATACTATATTATATATGATTATCATTTAATATGCAGTGTTGCACATAAAGTATATATATGAGGAATGACTTAAATGAGAATACTTACTTACATGAGAACAATTAATAATAATCTTTAGATTAAAATAAATAACTTATATTAAAATTTTACAAATAAAATTATCACATATTGTCATTATTATTATGATTGTTTTTATCATTATTTTCATATAAACAAGTATTTTTACTTGAGTCGACACACAAATACACGCACACACGTACACGTACATATTATCATTATTATCACAATTATTTATATCATTATTTTCATATAAACAAGTATTTTTACTTGAGTCGACACACAAATACACGCACACACGTACACGTACATATTATCATTATTATCACAATTATTTATATCATTATTTTCATATAAACAAGTATTTTTACTTGAGTCGACATACACACATGCATATGCGTGCACACGCACGCATGCATATATATATATATATACTTGTTCTAGAAAAATAATTTTGATTTGATTTGTATCGAGACCAGAAATGTCTATAAATTATACTATAATGCATGTATTATTATATGTTAAAAACATACCACCTTATACACCAAGAAATTTGTGTAATAAAATTACTATTAGAAATGAAAACTTATGTATTGTATAATATTGATTTCTCTTGATATAACTTTTAAAATTATTATTATATTATAAAATTTTAGTGTAAAAAAACACAACGCGAAGAATTGTCAAACTAAATTATAAAATTAAATAAAAAAATTTCATCCTTCAGCAAAAATTTTGATATTTAACCTTTTATATATATATATATATATATAATTATATTTAAAATAAAAAGAATTAAAAAAAATGGGGTGGGATGAGAATGGGAATAAAGATAGAGAAGGGAAAGGAGAAGGTAAATAAGCTCATTCCAAACAACAATTATACCTAACTTGAGTTCGACTTGAATTTATATAATTTTGTTTTTTAATTTAAACTTCATTAAATTCAAACTCATGTGAATTTATTTCTAATTGTTCACTCAAATTACATGAATTTAAAGCATTTTGACTTATTTTATGCTTGAATTTAAAAATCATGATTATGTTATACATAATTAAGTTCAGTTCGTTTATGATTTATGTAACAAGTTAAATTTTCATTTTAAGTTCAGCTTTTCATTTTAAGTTCAGCTTGTTCATGAATCAAGTTTAAAAAATTAACTATCGAAACAAGTCTCAACTAATTTCAAATGGATTATATTGATTGTTAACCCAAGCCGAATGCATGGATAGATACATTTATTGATGTCACTACGTTTCCCATTCACGTCCTTTACTCTTTTCTGACTTAACATAGTGTAATTCGAGTGACTCATACTTCTACAGGAAATATGCATTTTAATGGGGCTAAATTATGTTAAAGATAATCACACTTTCATTGTGTTTTATTATGTTAAAATCATTTTTGTAAGAACAATTTAAGAAATTTCAAGTTATTTTAGTGAATGCTTATTTGAAGATGATCACCAAGGATTGACGCTTGAAAGACCATATAGGGAACATCACGTAAGCAAACATTGACGCAAGTTTAACATACTAGATGGAGAAGAAGACTCTCACGTCAGTCATATCCGTAGGTTTGGACTTCACGTGATCAAATCTATGGAAACGTGGCTTCCTTCCCTACCGGAATTATTCAACAATTATCAAAATATCTTCATTCCCAACCGGAATTGTCTTTAAGAACATTTCAAAATCCGGATTGCAATGACAAGAATGAAAAAAACAAAGTATTATTATTATTATTATTATTGATATACAATGCTTAGGCTAACAAGAATCTCTATTTTAAATTTAGGATAAACCACCACCACCAACCTCAATAAAATCTTACAATAAGAAATTCCTACAACCAAATTTAAGTTTGTTGATAGAAAAGGGTCAACAAAAAAAATTAACTCCAGTTAGCTACGTTTGACATGTGGAAAATACACGGGAATCTCACTTCTTTCATAAATATATACAAAAAAAGAAATGGAACGACTAAAACTTATATTAGACAACAGAAGTTAGACACAGTCAAATAAACTTGTGTTATCTTAATATCATGCAACACAAAAGAAAATAACATTCACACATTTATGACAGGGTTAAAGTATTTTTTATTCCTAAAATTCACTTATTTTATCTTTTAGTTTTAATAGTTTAAAATAAATCATTTTAGTTTCTATATTTATCTTTTTCAATCCTTTCTAGTTCTTATAGTTTAAAATTTATCTTTTTTATTTTATATACTTGTAGGTTTTAAATCCTTTATGTCTCTTATGTTAATTTTTGTTGTATTGTAATATTATCTATTTCGTATTGATTTGTAGAAGATATTAATTCAATTTTGTATGTCTAATATTAAATTTATTTTACTGGAACTAATTTAAATTAGGTCCCTTAATGGCTCGTGTCTTTTTTGTATTCTCACCTACGAGATTTATTGTTGAAACACCATTTTTTTATCTTACAAAAATTAAAGATCTTTATCATATTAATATTAAACAGACAATATTAAAAAAAATATCAATAGAGACTAAAATAATTAAAAAAGTTGCAAGTATATAAACTAAAAAATTTACTTTAAATTATAAGAACTAAAAATAATTAAATAAATAAGTATAAAAACTAAAAATATTTATTTAAAATTAAAAAGATTAAAAAATAAAGTAAATAAAATTATAAAGACTTGAAAAAAAGGTATTTTAAGCTTATAATAGTCTATTATTCAAAGATACAAGTTTAATGTACAACTGAACACTCCTAGAGTCCTAGTTCCTATACATCTAACAATATGGACTGCAATTACCTCACGGTTCACATACATACTTATACTCCAGTCCTTATGACATAACAATGGCTTCATTCGAATAGCTATCACTTACAAACAAAGACTCACATTCACATAGTCTACCACGGTCCAGTAAGTGTCCTTCTCAAGCATTGTATTTTAGTTACACGTGATCTGCATGCAGGGTCCAATTCCGGCTGAAATAAATGAAAAATAAAAAAAAGAGTTTAATCAGCTTTCCGGATTTGCTTATAAATACTAGGTAGATATAGAGAACATAAGATATAATACCTTATCTTTCTGCATTTCCATAATTTCTGCCTGTATGAAACCAAACGTAGTCAGAGACAGCCAAAACCTCAGTTAACAAATCACTAATGAGGATGTGGTGCACAATGACAACATACCTGTTTTCTTTGTAATTCTCTGTTTAATTCCTTAAGTTTTGCAACTTCGGCTTCTAGTTCGAAAGTGTAGGCCTGCCATTCAAGAAGAGACAAAAATTAGTACGTGTGCAATAAATCATTTTATAAGAAGGGCCATAAGAACGGCATCATATAACATTGGGGGTGGGGATGGGGGAGGGGATTATCTAATGTGCATGTATTTTACTTTCTCTCTTTGTTATGAATTTTACAGTTCATGAATAGTATTTCTAAGATTATAATCTAGTTGAATCTGAAGTATAACTTGAATGAAGAATGTTAATAAGTGAACGAATATTATCTAACTTAGTTGTTCTGAGGAATTGTGAATCCCCCTAAAAACAGAGTGAACCAAATAATTTTAGCAGGATGTACAGAGTAAATTAGAAGTGTGTCTCGCGAACATTGCTCTTGACAAGAAGGCATAAGACTAGTTACAACCCACAAGCAACAAACATTTTTTTTTCTCAGTAAAATCTTTACAATAAATGTAGCATTTTGTAAAAGTGAGAAAAAAATATTTTCAACTCAAACAATTTCTTTAATTATTTTTATTATTAGGAGTTACACTAAAAAGGAAAATGGGCTTATTTTTTTAAAACGAAACATACATGAATTTTATCAAATAATAAAATTATGATATAAAGTATATGTTCTTAACTCTACACAAAAATGCATCAAGAAAAATGTTTGTCTTAACACAAGTTTGGCACAACAAAAGTTGCCTCTTTTGGAATGTATTTTTAAGATAAAAAATACTATTAATATTAGTAATAAAAATAGTTATTCAAAATGTCATGTGTTGATATCTTTTATGTTAGAACAGTTGAACTAATGCATTTAATTATTAAGAGTTAGCTCGGATACAAATTTAAAAGATCTGAAAATTTTTAGTTGAAACTTTATATTTTTAGCAGAGAAGTTGTTGAAATTTTGTATACGAATATTCTACATGTAAGGCTGTTAACCTGCTTACGAGCCCGTGACCTGGCAGCTGATTCTCTGTTTTTTATCATTCTCCTCTGTCTCCTCTCGACCACTTTCTCTATGGCACTGCATTTCCTTCCCCTGTTGATTACATAATGAACTGGTGACGTTGAAGAGGTATCTCCATTACTCCTTGTAATTACATTCGGTGATAATTTACATGAGGGAGAAGCCCCAGTAGCTGTGACATTAGCATTGGGTAAACTAACCATTCCAACATTCATTGAATGGTCAACAACTCCAAGCAACCCTCCCCTTCTGCCAGGGCTAGCAAGTTGACCATTGTTCAACAAGTGCATAGGAGCAGCAAAAGCCACATTGGTTGGTTTTGGGAAAAGTGGTGGTGGCTGTTGTGCTTGTCTTTGAGAGTGGTTTGAGTTTAGTGATAAGGGAGGAGGATGTTTGGTGACTAAGCTATTGTTATTGTTATTTCCGTCCGCCACCCTCTCACCCAAATTCCCATTGCTTCTATTTGGTTGTTGAAAGCCAAGAAGTAGGCCAGTGCTAGTGTTTGGTCTATGAAAGTCACCAAACCATGATCCATTGTTGTTTGGTTTACCAATTTGTTGAGGCACATCCTCTCTAACAACCCCAGCTCTCACCAAAAACTCCTCCAAAGTCATTTCTCCCAATGTTGGTTGCCTTTGAGGCATGGATGAACCACCATCATTGCCACTCCCATCTTTGGCCCCACCACTATCTTTGATCAAGTCCCTCCAAACCTCATCTACTGTTTTCTGACTAAGAGTCCTTGGCAATGTCAATGAGCCTTGTCTTTGCAAGCCACCACTAATTGGGTTATGGTTATAACCTTCTCCTGCACCAGCTGAAAATCCCAAGGCTTGAGTCTCCTCGGCTGTCCAAATGTTCTTCAAGAGTTCATCCATGTTCATGGACCCAAAATCCTTCCCAATCCCACCCATGGTGCTTTGAAACTCATCAAATGTGAGGGAGTACACTGAGGGTTGTCTCATCAGAGTTACATTTGTTGGTGTCTTCCCCTGCATGGCATCCCAAGTGGGGTCATCTCCGTAATTTCTGAAGTTCATCTTTTACCCCACTTTCCAATACTTGAAGCAGACGTAAGAGCTTACTTAAGCAAACTTTGTCTTACGTAGCAATCATGCCTAAGTAGATCATGTGCTATTTTCAGTCAGTGCGCTTTGGACTGGTTCCCTTGTATTCAGATCTAACCATACAAAATATCGGAACAAAAAAAAAAGCATTTCATTAATCAAGTTAAAATAGCATATAATTATTAATTAACTGGTTAAAACTTCAAATCACTACCCCCACAAGGCTAAGAAAGAAAATTTTCAGGTAGAAGTAGAACGTTGTTACAACAACATTATTTGACGGATCAGTAACAAAACAGTTCGAAAACAATTTCATGTAAACTCGCAAAAATCCAAAGTCTCTGCGAATGGCAAAACTGAAACCTACCATGACTAATTTATGGAGACAAGTCAGATCTAAACCTCAGTTGTCTGTTATTTTGGTGTTTTGTACTAGGAGAAAAATAAATACTATACTACTTTGGTATGTTAGATAAATTAACCTCTGAGCTAGTAACCTAAAACCTGATGATGTAGATGGAAGTTAAATTTATACACGCGCGTTTGTAACTGAAAAAGTTAACTAATTTCTCCGAGATACCAACACCCTTTTACGAGTTTAACATAATCCAACTTGCTTTTTTTGGCGAAGTCACTAAAATCGAAAAATCTTTCAGAAGCGTCACCATCTCCAACCTGATATTCTTTTTATCTTAAAAAATAATTGTCACTATTACACAAATATCGCATCCAATTATTGAAACCCCCCTGTTTCACGCACCACTCGCATCTAGAAATAGCAATTCGACCCCTCAGGGCAGAGCTCGGTGGCGATCGGAAAAACTCACGAGGCGAGAGAATTGTTGGTCGAGGAGAAATAGGAAGAAAAATAATCCCACATCGATTAAAATTGTCGGCGCAAAGGAGCGAAATATAAAAAGAGCGGCAGTAATAGTAAAGGGAAAGGAAATGAAAAATAATAATCATGGGAAGGGTTCAGATATGGATATGTAGAGGAAAACAATGGCGGTGAGAATGAAAGGGGGAATAAAATTACCTTGGGTTAGTGTTTTTGTTTGGGCCTATTCTCAAATTGAGTTCATCAAGGTTGGACTTGGGAGTGTCGTGTCGCAGCGATCTTGAGATTGGGGAGTGTGGTGGAGTCGACAAGTGTCTTGTGTTGTGCAGCCTCGACACGGGTCGGGATTTAAGGAGACTCTTGTTCACTGGCCATGGTATTATTGGAGTTTTCTATCCATTAAAATATTTCTGAAAAATAAAACGCAAACATAGTGATCTCAAAACGTGGACCAATCGTTAGTAAGGTGAATCATTGATGTGACGTGTACCCAATGGCAGCTCGAAATGTGGGAGGATCTACAGCATTTGATGCTGCTTTCCGACAACATTTTACATTTGTGATTATCATGCCTTTGGATTTTTTTCTCCTCCTATTTTCTGTCTCATTTTTTGTTTTTATTTTCGTTGCTGATTTTTACATTATCTTTTCCTGTTTTGTATATGAAGGTTTTTGGAAACGGTTTGTTTATGCTGCCTCGCAGCAAGGACGATGTGAACAACTGAATCTATTCGTTTTGATTTGTCAACACATGTTGTTTATATAACTTCACCACCTAATTTAGTTATCAGTCAAGTCACTATATTAATGAGAATATTGTCTAAAATGCATGACTTTTAAAATATCAAAAATCATTAAGAATAAGTTTAACAAATAGTACATTCGTACCCCCCACTAATTAAGTTTTGGATTAAAGGGGATCAAGGCTCTTACTAGCTCCCTAATGCATTTGTCCTTCCTTATAACTATCTTGAGATATCACCCTAATGCATTTGCCCTTCCTTATAACTATCTTGAGATATCATGTATATATCTAAGTCAACTCAATTGGTTAAACTACATTAGAAATATGTGAGTATTATGTGAATATGTTCATTTATTTTCTTCAATTTCTTTCTATTTATTATTATTATTATTATTATTATTATTATTATTATTATATTTTTAAAATTAAAATAAAAAATTGTCTTAAAGTAATTATTAACTTTTAGTTTTGTTTGAAATCTTGTACCATTAATAGAATTTTAATAGAATATATAAGAGAAAAGCAATAATTATTTTATGAGTTATTTTTGTAAGGTTGCATTAGATATAATTTTACTTTCTTAAAATAATATCATAACTACTCTAAATTTATTAAAATAATATTATTCACTATTTATACATGTATTAAATTCAATAGTGTTTGATGTAAAGTGTGTATTAGACAAAAATCTAAATCTCGCTTATCATAGATCATTTTAAAATGGTCACTCATTACTTATTCTCATACTAAATTCAATAATGTTAGGTGTTAATTATCATTTATCCATATATCAAGTCTAATAGTGATAGAAATGAGAAGATACATTAGGAAAAACTCAAGTCTGACACTAAGTAGAGACAAGACCAACATATAATTATAAGTAGAAGATAACATTTACCTTAAAAAGTCAATTTTGTAGAGATTAGTTAAACTCAATAACCATTTTAAGATAATATCAAAGTTTATCCTAACAATTATTTATTGTCAGTGTTTATTAGACTACTCACTATTAGATAATTATCAAATTAATACAAATGTACAATTCATAAATTTTATGCTTGAGATATTCTGTTTTTGGTATAAAGAGGTATGTTGGAAGTCTTACCTCAATTAATAATAAAACCTTAATAGAATATATAAGTGGAGAGTTATTCTTATTTTATAAATCAATTTTGTAAAGTTGATAATTAGATTTAATCTCACTTTTAAAAGAAAAAAAAAACTTCATAACTTATAATGTATAAAGTCTTGTGTTTTATGTCTTTTCAAGCATCAAAATGAAAAGGGTGTTAAATTTTTTCTTCTCTTTTTTTTCTTCTTTTTTTCATAAACCAAATAATAATTTAAATGTTATTTTATGAAATAATTTTTTATCATTAATTCATTTAATTGATATCGCGCAATAGCTTAGTTGTGAAACTATAAATCCCTACTATTAAGAGTGGTGATTAGGGATGGCAACGAGACGGGGCGGGTACGGGTTTCATGATACCCGTCCCCGTCCCCACGACTCAAACCCATACCTTTCGGGTATGTAAATTTTGTCCCATCCCCGTCCCCGTCGGGTATCGGGTATACCTGTACTCGTACCCGTACCTGTAAAAAAATATTTTTTTTTAAAAAAATAATTTTTAAAAAAAAAATATTTTTAACTTATCTTTATGTCATATTATAATGATAATTGGGTTGTTTGTCTATCTCATATTTTAATCAAGAGACTTGTTAATAATTAAACAACTACAAATATTTCACATCATAATAAATAACCACACATAATTAAAATCTTACAAATTAAACAACCACAAATGTTGAGTAATGTCACAAATAAACATCCACAATGTTGAGTTGAAATAACAAAATAAACTGAAATTTCTCAAATAAAAATTAAAATTCATCTTGCAAGTGAAAAATGTTGAGTAATGTCATTAAGCTTCAGTCCACCTATCATAAGACAATTTATAAAAAATTAGAATCGAGTTATGAATGAAAATTTTAAAAATTAGAATTGAAAAATTAGATTGGAGTAATAAAATTAAAATCCACTTACAACATCTATTAATTTTGCACATGTTCAGTAATTCCACTTGCATGCAATCCACCTGCATACAAAAAAGATAAACTTTAGATGTGATAAATGAAATTGAAAATTTGTAATATTAAAATATAATATACCTTCATCATCAGATTCACTTTCACTGATTAAAGTAATTTTTTCTTTAGTGGCTTTAGCACCTACAAACATCAAATATAGAATATTAATTAGAATTGATACAAAATTACTAATTGACCATTAATGCTAATTTATTTTTTATTAATTTACCTAGATAGTCTGAGTTCCAAAGCCAACTTTTAGTACACATCAAAGCTTCTACGGTAGTATGATTAAGTCGACTACGATTAGGACTTAATATTTGACCGCCGGCACTAAAAGCAGATTCAGAAGCTACAGTAGTGATTGGAATGGCTAAAACATCCCTTGCAATTGCTTGAAGTGTTGGATACTTCAACCCATTTGTTTTCCACCATGATAAGATATCAAAATCCGATGTAATAGGTAAATTATCTTCCTCCAAGTAATAATCCAACTCTGTTTTCATAGATGAAGTTCTAGCTTTTTTCTTTTTTGCCATGAACTTCACAAAATCACTCATGCCACTATCACCAACATTTCCCTCCTCAAATGATGAAAACCCAGAAGAAGACCCATCATTCTTCTTTGCTTGATATTCAGAAACCAAATCATAACACAATTGACGAATTCTACTAATTTCCAAATCACAATCAATGTCATACAATTTATCAAAATAATATTCAAGCAAATCCATTTTGTACCTTGGATCTAAAACAGAAGCTACTCCCATGATATCATGAATGGAACTCCAATAACTTTCAAATTTCTTTAACATTTGTTCTGCCATATTGTGAATGATTTGATTAGGAGACTTTACCCATTCATCTATTGCAAGTTTGATCTCACAAATCTTTGGGAAAAAAATGTTGGCAGTTGGATATTTGGATCCAGAAATTATTTCTGTAATATCATTAAACATTCTCAATCTCCCACAAACATCTTTTGCAAACTCCCATTGTGATTCAGTTGGCAAACAAGTGTATTGAGATTCACGCTGCTTTAATCGAAAAAACACATCCTTATAACACAAAGCAATATCAAGCATCTTAAAAGTGGAATTCCATCTTGTTGGACAATCTAAAGTTAATTTTTTGTTGAAAGGAATTCGCAACTGTTTAGTTGTTTCTTCAAATTTTTCTACCCTCTTAGGTGTTGCTGTCCAATATGCTACACTTCCCCGAATTTTTTCCACGCCTTCTTTTACAACTCCCTGTAGACCCCTAAAATTGTCCGGGTCGGAAA